GCTTACCAGGTAACCCTGGCAGTTGCCTCGTCGCAATAACTTAGTGGCTTTCGCCACTGATATAACATGAGGCAATAAACGGTTCTTGGAGCCGAAGAAAGTAATCGACTCGTCTCCCGGAAGATAGAGGACAATCTCCCGGTCATGGCACCTGATATCAGCATGATAGAAAGAAAGCCAATCCATCCCGATAATTAGATCGAAATCCTTCATCTCGAGAACGAACGCGTCGGCAGTCAATACTCGACCACCGATGGAAAGGCTAAGGTCTGTAACTTTGGCTGAGGTCACTATCTTTCGTCCCGAGGCTAGACTCACCTCGAGAGGATCGACAGCGGTAACTGCATGAACTCCGATGGCGTCGATACACCGTCGGGAGATAAAGGTGTGTGTTGCTCCGGTATCGAATAAAGCGAACACAGGAATATCATTAAGAACGATCATCCCGGACATGGTACCTGGTTGCTGTGCTGCCTCCGCCTGATCGACCGCGTAGACCCTGGCCTGCTGCCTGCCTCTCTGTTGCTGCTGCTGCTGCGGCTGCTGAGGCTGCTGCTGAAGCTTCTTCGGGCAACGACTCGCAAAGTGTCCCGACTCTTGGCAAAAGTAACAGACGTCCTGTCCAGCACGACACTCTCCCCTGTGAAGTCGACCACAAGTCGGGCATGGTGGAATCTCCTGCAGCCTCCGTCGGGTCCTCTTGTCTGCCGGGGCACCCTTTCCTTTCCTTTTGTTGTTCTTCGGCGGCTGGGTAGCTGGAAAAGCTGGTGGAACTGCAACTGGCTGAGCTGGGGCAGATGGCTGAGCACGATCACGAACGGCCTCCCTCCTAATGCTGGCGTCAACCTCCTGTGCGATAGAGACGGCTCGTGCATACGTCTGCGTCCCGTGTCCCACAATGTTATGACGGACTGCTGGGTAAAGTCCGTCAATGAACCTCTGAGCTCTCTGGGCCTCCGTGCGAACAAGATCCGGTGCGAAACCTGCAAGTCTGGTGAACTCACGCTCGTACTCATCGACAGTACGAGTGCCCTGCTGAAGCGCTAAGAACTGGCGCTCCATCTCTGCCCGATAGTAGGAAGGGTAGTACTTGTCACGGACCAGATCCTTGAACATGTCCCATGTACAACCCGCTTTTTCACCGGGACGCATGCTCCAGTAGGCGTTCCACCAGAGCCTCGCGTCGCCAGTGAGCTGAAGCTGAGCGCAAACTACGCGATACCTATCGGGACATTCCATAACCTCAAAGATGAAATCTAACCCCTGAATCCATTCATCAACGATCCGGGGGTCGCCCTGACCTGAGAACTTCTCTGCGTGATAGTCGCGGAACTGGGCGACTACCGTAGCCTGAGTAGGACCCTGATGATCGGGCTCTCTACGTGGCGGCATCTGAATATTGAAAAAAGATTAACATTACTGAATATTACATGATAGCTTTACTGACTGATTACTAGGCACACAGATCTCTTGACGAGTTGCCAAAATTGGCCGATAATTACTGACTTGAAACCTGAAAAACTCTAGAGTCATCTTGGAAAAATCCTAAAGTCTAGAGTCATATCTGAATGCCTGAATTCTAGAGTCATGTCCAACCTCTATAGTCTGAATCTGATTC